TATCACAGTCATAAATTGGTGCTTTACAATCTGTCTTAGCAAACATTGAACTGACAAGCAAAAATCAGTATCTTAAAATAGAGATGGTCTTCTGATTGAGGAATGCACAATTGGATGTTGTCTAGATGTTAGCAAAGCCTTTGACACCGTTTCCCACAGCATTCTTCTGGAAAAACTGGCTGGTCATGGCTTGGACAGGTGTACTCTTCAGTGGTGCTGGGGAAGGGGCTGGAGCACAAGCCTGGTGAGGAGCAGCTGAGGGAGCTGGGGGTGTTTAGCCTGGAGAAAAAGAGGCTCAGGGGAGACCTCACTGCCCTCTGCAACTCCTTCAGAGGAGGTTGTAGCCAGCTGGGGGTCGGTCTCTTCTCCCAGGTAACAAGCAACAGGACAAGAGGAAATGGCCTCAAGTTGCGACAGGGGAGGTTCAGATGGGATACAGGAAAAACTTCTTCACTGGAAAGGTTGACAAGCAGTGGAACAGGCTGCTTGTGGCTGTCACTATCCCTGGAGGTATCTAAAAAATGTGATGTGGTGCTTAGGGACACAGTTTAGTGGTGGACTTGGCAGTGCTGGGTTAATAGCTGGACTCAGTGATCTTAAAGGTCTTTTTCAGCACAGCTCTATGATTCTAGATATTACTCTCTGCTGGTCTGATTCTGCTGCCTTGAAGACTTTTTGAGGAAAGAAGAAGGTATTGATACTACTTTCACGTAACTGTCACCTTTTATTTTCTGTCAATGTCTACAGTGATTTAGAGAATCCATAGGCAGTGTACAAAATCTGATTTAGGACCTTCTCTCTGTGCATCTTTTGTCAAGCTCAGTGTGTCATATTCTTGGTGGCTCCATATCTTTTCTATTGTGCATAAATAGAAAATCTGGGCTTCAGGAGACCTTGGTAGTTCAAGTCTGTCCCCCATTCCAAGACAAATTTAAATACATCTATCAATATTTATAAAATATTTCTTCCAGTTGCTATGAAAAAAAACCCAAACAAACTGAAGATAAAACCTCATCAATCTTCCAAAGTAATCTCTTCCTGTGTGCTTCATAGTCCTTTGCAAAATGGCAGCAATCCCTCCATCATGGACACTGGTTTATTCCCTTCTGCTCCCTCATGTATTTGTAGGCTGCTGATAGAGCTGAGTTTTCATTAATATAAAGAAAACATCTCCTCCTAGGTTGTATGTCCTGAGCCTTCTTGGATCCTTCTTACGGCCTCTCCCATTGTGCCATTTTTTCCACTTTGAATGAAACGCCGTTCCAAAAACTTGGCAGCACTTCACCAGGGACCCCCACCAGTGCTCAGTATGCTGCAAGGATGAGTCCATAGGTCTGGCAGTCTCTAGTGTTGTTTGTGCGGTCCAAAAGGTGATTACCTTTATTGCAATACTGTGACACTGCTGACCCAAGTTAAGCTTGTTATTCGCTGCAGTCTCGCAATTCCTTCGTGCGCAGTGAGCTGGAATTCCAAAGGGTAACAACGCAGACACAGGAAGGCAGCAGCCTGTGCAACAAATGGATGTTTGTCCTGTCTGCCCAGGAGTGAAGAGGGCAGGTAAAGATGTGTGTCTCCCAGAACTGCAGGCTGGATGCCTGTCATGTTACTGTGTTATTGCCTCAGATCTGCCATGGGCTGCGTTGCTCTGTGGTTACTGACAGGCTGAGCAGAGGAGTGGGGGAGATGTGAGGAGGATTTTGGTGAGTTACAGGAGGAGGGCACAGGGGGAACAAGGAACATTTGTGGAAGAAACATTGCCAGTTGTTGACAAACTGGGGTCTTTTTAACAATCCTCTCTCTTGATCAAATTATGATCTTCTACTCAAAATTCATGATTTCCAGCAAATAGTCTGTTCTGACCAAGAAGATCTGGTTTGAGTGGTCAGATTACCTTAAAAAAACGAACCTAAAACTCCATGCACAGTCCACTGACAGGGCAAGAGCTCAAGAGGTATCATCACAGTGCTCCTGCAGCAGCTGTAGTAGGAAGCCAAGGACAGCTTCTCTATTGCCTGCATTTGATCTAACTTGCCCTGCCTTTTTCTTTTTCCCAGTGAAGCTTTCTGTCACCCATTGAGTTGTTATTTGCTCCTTGAATAGTCTTAGTAATCCCCAGATTTGGAGGAGTACCTGGGAGTTATTTTTTTGAGAATGATTGAATAGCAGGATGCATGATCCCTATGGAACTGAAGCTTCACTTTTTCCTGGGACACAAGTCTTTTTTTTATGAGGAAGAAGCCTGACTACTTAAAGAATAAATAGGGAAAAGTCTTTTAAAAAAACACTACTCAAAACTGTGCACACTTTTAGATGAGCTGCTTTCTGGAATGGAATTGTTTTCTAGCCTTTGCTTCGCTTGTGGCAACTTTTTTAGTGTATGGACGTACAGATTCCCCCATAGCTGGAAAAACGTTGGCACTTGATACTGCTGAGTCACCCCCTTGCTTACTTTTGTGTGTGCAGGTTCTACTCCTTAATCCATTAAAAATACTTAAATTTTACAGCTTGGAGTACAAAGGGATGCTTCAGATGTTCCTCTGTGAAAAGCATAAAGTTTTATAGGCCTTTGTTGGACCTTTCAGAATATTAGGAAGAAAGTAGCAATCTTGCGTAGAGTGGATTTTTCCACTTGCTTGGAGAAACAGCATGTGGTGTGGGAGCAAGCAAGAGAACTTTATCCCAGGAGAACAGGGATAGGAAGACAGGAAATGGCCTCAAGTTGGGCCAGGGGAGGTTTAGATTAGATATCAGGAAAAATTTCTTCACCAAAAGGGTTGTCAAGCACTGGAACAGGTTGCCCAGGGAAGTGGTGGAGTCACCATCCCTAGAAGTATTTCAAGGACATGTAGATGTGGCACTTAGGAACGAGGTTTAAGTGGTGGATTTGGCAGCGCTGGTTTAACAGTTGGACTTAATGACCTTAAAGGTCTTTTCAAACCTAAACAATCCTGTAATTGCTACCCATGCTGTAGTTTCCTTGCTCAGGTGTCTGGTATCAGCTGTGCTCTGCCACGTGAGACTTCCTTGAGGCTATTCCTTGCTCTGCCTGTGTGATCTACTAAGTGCAGGTGCAGTGGCTGTACAAAACCTAAGGGCAGGCATTAATAAACACATGAGGTGTGCTTTCCTTCTTGGGAGGGGAGCTTGCTCCAGTGGGAATGCCAGACTTGCTCGGTCAGATTTCAGAAAGAACAGCTGTAAGTCCCAGAACAACAACACTGTGGAACCCACAAGATAAATCTTGAGTCATTCCCAAAAAGAACCTAAGTCCGAATGTATCATAGGCTTACAAGGTCAAAGTGGAGCATGAAGCCCTATTAGTGAGGAAGGTGGGAAACACAGGAAAAAAAAAAGACAAAATCTGTACTCCAACAATTGCCCTCCGAGCTAGAGGAGCAAGGGTATAACATGATGCAGATCCTTCATTGTTCTGGCTCTATACACCATGGAGATGCACTGATTTCTGCAATTCAAGAAATGCATAAATTTATAGGCGATGAAGCAACTGTTAGTAGTCAGGCCAGACTAGAATAAGCCCTAGTTTTTTTAACTGGAGGGACGACTGAAAAGAGGACAGCATGTTCCCTCATTTTCCAACAGATTACTTATGATGAGGAAAATACTCTTTCACCTTGCTGAGAAATAATCACGCTATTTCAAGAGCTGATTCAAAGCTATCCACAAAGAAGAACAAGAGGCATCAGGCATCATTTCTTGTTGTGTTCTGTGATTGAACCTGTGACGGTCAATAATGACAAATGGCCAGAGGAAGATGAAAGTCCCAAACACACTATCAAGTCCTATCTCAGCAGAGTCTTGATATATTGTAGCACTTGCCAGCCAACGCATACATCTTCTTTTTCTCTTTGACGGCCCTCTGAAGGGATTTTTTTGGGTCAATAACACACAATTGCACTCACTTCAGAACCCGACTGCGAGGGTGGTGTGCTCTGTCAGGGCACCCACAGCTTGGGCTTAAACACCTCCAGGAGTGGTGACTCCACCACCTCCCCAGGCAGCCTATTCCAATGTCTGATCACCCTGACAGCGAAAAACTTTTTTCTATCGCATCTGAATCTCCACTATCTCAGCTTAAAACCATTTCCTCTGGTCCTCTCACTGTGGGCATGGGCAGAAGAGACTGACCCCCACCTCACTGCAACCTCCTTTCAGGTAGAAAAAGCTCATTTACTATGTTCCGTTCTGGCCTCCTCACAACAAGAGAGACACAGAGCTCCTGGAGAGGATCCAGCAGAGGGCTATGAGGATGACTGGGGGACTGGAGCATCCTTCTTATGGATAAAGGCTGAGGGAGCTGGGTCTGTTTAGCCTGGAGAAGACTGAGAGGGGACCTCGTTAACGTGTATAGATATGTAAAGGGTGAGCGTCAGAGGACAGACTCGGTGGTTCCAAGCAATAGGACAATGGGCAGAAACTGATGCCCAGGAAGTTCCACCTGAACACGAGGAAGAACTTCTCCCCTGTGCAGCGGAACACGTTGCCCAGAGAGGGTGTAGAGAGTCTCCCTCACCGGGAGACATTCCAGAACCGTCTGGACACAACCCTCTTGCCGTGCGCTCCGGGATGACCCTCCTCGAGCAGGGAGGCTGGGACAGACCGCCCGCCGCGCTCCCTTCGCAAGCTCACCCATCCCGGTGGCTCCCCCAGCGCCGGGGCCGGGGCCGTGGCCGGGCAGGGTGCGGGCCGTGCCCGCGCTCGGTGCCCGCTGTCGCCGGTGCCACCGCCGGGCGGGGCGGCCGCTGGGGCGCGTGACCGGTGACGCCGCGGGGGAGGCGGCGGCGGGACCCGCGGCGGGAGCGCGGGGAGGGAGCGGATCCGCGGCGGGAGCCCCGATCTGCGGTGGGAGCCCCCTCCGCCCCGCACCCAGCGCCGGGCAGCAACCACCGCGGGGGGAGCCAGTCGCTGCCCCCGCCTCTATCCATCCCTCCCTCCCTCCCGCGGGGGGTGTGTGTGTGTGTGACAGGCGGGCAGGCAGGGCGAGCGCGTCACACCGCCCGCGCTCCGCCCCCCGCTCCTGCTCCTGCTGCCGGCGCCGCCGCCGCCGCCGCCACCTCGGCCCGGCGCGGGCGGCAGGGCGGACGGCGCAGCCATGGAGCCCGAGTGCCGGGTGCTCTCCATCCAGAGCCACGTCGTGCGCGGCTACGTGGGCAACAAGGCGGCCACCTTCCCCCTGCAGGTGAGCGGGCGCGGGCCTGCCCTCCTCCTCCTCCTTCTCCTCCTTCTCTTCCTCCTCCGGCGCTGCCGCTGTTCCCCTGCGCGGAGCCGGGCGGGCGGTGCGATGGCAGCGCTGCCCGGCGCGCTCCGGCGCCCGGGCGGGCGGCTCCTGCCAAGGCGGTGTGAGGGTCAGGGCACGGCGGAGCGGTGCTCTCCCCGCCCGCGGCGGTGCCGGGCGGAGCGGGCGGCGGGGACCGTCCCGGGGCTCCGCGCACCCCGCGGCCGCTGCGGCCGCGCTCCCGTTAACGCAGCTCCTTCTCCGCGCCCCGTGGCGCGGCGAGCCGGGGTTAGCAGGGCAGGCGGTGGTGCTGGAGGGTTTGCTCGGTTCGCGGTGGGGCAGAGGCGGGACCGGCAGGGGCATCCAGCATCCAGCCCGGGCTCCTGCCCCTTCAGGGACGGTGGTCACGGTGTCCCGCGCGGGGGACTTGGGGCACCGGTGTCCTTGTGCTGGCACAGAGATCGGTCCCGCTACGCCTCGGAGGCGGGGGGGGTGGGACCTCACCCCTGGGTTTCTGAGGGTCCTGGGAGGCTGTAGTGGAGTGTAAGGACTTGGCTGTGCCGGAGGAACCGTCCCAGGGCTGGAGAGTGTAATTGGATCTCGGCCTTCACGGCTGTCATGTGCTGGCTTCGGAGGTGCTTGCTTGGATCTGGCTGGTTGGTGGGAAAACACTGGGCGAGCCTTTGCAGGTCGCACTGTTGGCTCTTGTGCAGGGTGTGTATCCTAAAGGGCTAATTTGGGGCCTTCACCATCCAGAGGTCTTTGTTCCTTGAGGGCGTGTGTCTGTACGAAGCTCTCTAAGAACCTCACTGCCGGGACACGGTGTGTTTTAGCAAACGATGGTGTTACTCACTTGAGGAGACGGGAGAGATGGTGTACTCTGATAAAGGGTGCCCGTGAGACCAGGCCTGCAGCAAGCCAGTGTCACACCCCGGTGTCACCCCCCAGTTACAGTGCAACCGGGTCTCCTGGAAATCAGTACATGGTGAAGGGTGATGTATATTTGTAATCTGAGTATTGCAGAAAAATCTGTGTATGTGGAGCCCCAGGCTTGAAAGGTTGTCGTGATCGGCAGGACAGCTGTCCCTTCTTTCCTAGTGGAATGACCCTGAAATTTTACTTCCCCTTTCTATTTCAGTGTAGCAGAAGAGCACACAGTAATACTCATTCCAGAAATCCCCAGTCTCAAACTGTTGTCTCCTTTTTAATTCTCTGTCCAAGGTTCTCTTTACTTTTCTGTAACTCAACCTTCCTGTGACATACGAGCCTCTGTGTGGGTGACCCATGTGACTTGGCAAATGGGTTCCTGCAAAGTGTCTTTAGCTCCTTGACTGTGATAGTATAAAATACTAGTGGAGTTAAAAAATCCTACTGATGTTGTAGCTGGGTTGTGTTCAGGAGGCAGTAATGTTCCTCAGTGTATAGCATAAGAAGAAGTTTCTGGGGTGGGTGGAAAAGAAATTTCACTTGAGGGACAAACAAACTCCAACCACTAAAGGCTGCACTTGAAAATCCTGTGCAGGCAACCCTTAATGAAGTTGTGCTTGCTGGAAAGTTATGTAAACCCTTCTTTTGCTAGAACATCCGATGTAGCAAGGTGCCACCAAATGAAACTTTCCTCTTTTTCTTTATGTTTTCTTGGAACAAGGAAAGGAAGTACAAACCTGAGTCTCTCTCTTTTATTTTTTTTATGTGCAGATAAAATGATACCTGACGCTATTCTTGAGGATGGGTTGCAAGTGTGGCATGCTTATGTTATTTCCCATTCTCTTTTTTTTTTTTTTTTTTAATTTTGGTATTCTGAACCAATAATGGTTAAGTGAGGCTTCCTTCTGAGCTCACCAGTATTGAGTTTGCAAGGCAGGATGTGTGTCTGTGTGCTTGTGAGGCCTGGTGGGTTGAAATCCTGACACTACAGTTCAGGAATCTACATTTGGACAGCAGCATCCAAACAGAAAAACAGACATGGTTTCACCTGCTGTTTGCAGACTTCTGCAAAAGCATCAGTCGTGTGTAGATGGCTCATTCTTTGGTGGAAATCTGTGTCATTATTATTTATTAGCAACAGCCAGCAATTAGCATGGCAGAGAATTCCTTAATGTCTTTTTTTTTTTTTTATTTTAAATCCAGTTGGTTTTGTCAGACTTCCATTACACTAAAAGCTAAAGTATTTAAACTGTAGGTATGAGGAAATACCTCCTCTGTGGAGTTTATGGTAAACACTTTCTATATGGCAAACACAGCAAAACCAGAATTATATATTAGAGCAGCTTTAATAATGAAAGTAATAGATCTGGATGGGAAATGTTAGAACCTGTTACACCATTTCAGGTTGAAGTACACTTAAGTAATTGGAGAATCCAGATTAACTAATAGGTCATAGAGGAAATGTACACCTGGGCTTGCCAGAAAATGAACTGTCCTCACCTCTGCTTTGAATTCTGCCTTGTCAAGAGTTTAAATAGTGATTACTTGCATGGTTTTACTATCTCTTCCAAAAGTTTTGAAGATGGTTCAGAATAATTTTTAAGCTAGTCATTAGTTATTTCACAGTCATATAACCTGAGCAGCTTCTGGTATCAGGAAGTGGTTCAGGATTATCCAGCATTTAAGATAGGAAGAGCTGTAGGGCATGCATTAACTTGGGGAGTTTTCACTGTCAGCCAGATAAGTTCTTTTAAAACACAAAAAAACGTTTCTCCTACTCAACTAAGAGTTGTCCTAGGTTTTTTTTTTAATATAAAATAAAAATGTATATTTTCACCATGCCATTCAACATTACTTTTATAATATGTGGTTTCTTCCTTAGGGTCATGTCTTATTTGTTAATTTTAAACATAATTTTAGGTTACCTTTCCTGCCTCACCTTCTAGGTAGATAGGTTATGGCAGTAAGTAAAAAGGGAGCAGCACTGGCAAATACAGAGTTAGAGTACTCAAACCACAGAGAATACATAAGGACAGGCTGATCTGTGTTCTGCAGAGGTACTTTTCATTCTGACCACCAGGAAAATTTTGGTGGTGGATGAATTTAAGATTCATGAAACTGCACCCATCATAATATCAGCTCTTGGGAATGAGGGTGTCAGTCTGTGTGTTCATGGGGCCTCCATGAGCTTCCAAGAAAGAGTTTTGAAAGTATAAGGAAGAGGCAGGAGAAAGTCTGAGCCAGTTTTACTTGGGCACTTGACATTTGCATGTGGTTTCCACTGGACTAGTTTATACCCCTGTCTGCAAGCCAGAGAATGTTGATCTCTGATTGTGTCTTGGTAACAGTGAGATCTGGAGAGTTCTGTACTTCCCGTTCTTACTGTGTTTGATAATGGAACGTGAATATGTTTTGTTGATGGTTTTTTGTTTTGGTTTGGTTTTTTTTGTCTGCCCTAACACTCAGAATTTGAGAAAATCATGTCCCTGTTTTGAGCATTTAAATGTTGACTTCCTTTTATATCGGATTACCTTGAAGATGAAGCTAAAAACATGGACAAATACCTGAACTATTTGGGTCTGGAGAGTGGAATTGCCTGTTCTGAACTGTAGAACACCATAAACAGTTTCTGCAATACAGGATAAAATGGCCTTTTGAAATCTGTTCTTTTCTTTTATTTTAAATTTTTTTTTATCTGCTAATTGGAAATAGTTATCCAGGTATTAATAAGGGCAGATGATTCTCAGTCTTAGACTAGTTCTCAGTAATTTCTCTTTTGCAAAGAAAACCTTAAGTCTACATGTTTACCTCTTTCTTAATTGTAAAAAAAAAAAAAAAGGGGGGGGGGAACGACTTAAGTAAGGTCAGACTATAATTTCTTTGATATTTAAGACTAGTCTTGAACTGCATTGTCCAGCCAAGGTTATAATTTACTTTCATATGCTGAGAGCAAAACCAGTATCAGTGGATCTTTGCTAATTATCTGCTGCCTTTGCAAAAAAGGTTAAGATTTTTTTTAATTAATTTTGTTGAACAGAACAGTAAAATGGACTAAGGATTTTGCAGAAAGACAAAGTGTATCTCTTAAACAAAATGATTGCTTTTTCTGTTTTTCAAACCCAGCTTCTACTGTGTTAATAACATGAGTCAGAAGAAGGATGAATCAATCAAAAGTCTTTTCAGAGTAACAATAAGAAATGCTCTTACTGGGTAGCCCTTATTTTTGTTACAGATCAAAGGCTGAAAAAGCCTAACCTTAAACAAAAAGTAAATACAAAGATAAAAGTATTTTCTCTTTGCCAAAAATTGCCCTAAATTACATATGTGAAACAAGAATTATTGTTCTAAAATCAAAACATCATATGAGGCTTGTTTTTTTTTCCTTACCTTTCTTTTTGTTCTTTTAGGAAAGGTAAATAAGGGGTGGATTAATTAAAAAAAAAAACGAAAACAACAACAACAACAACAAAAACACCAAACAAACAAAAAACCCCCAAACAAACACAAAAAAACCCAGGACCCCTCTGGGAAGGTTTGTTCTTATCTCTATAAACAGCATTTGCTTATCATGTGGATGTCAGTACATGTAGCTACAAAATGAAACCAGTGAATACCTTGCTCAAGGTGAGGCCCCGAGAAAGACTTGTAATCCAGAAGGTCCTAACAAGGTGGTTCCCCCACCTGGCAGTCTGGATTTCTAGGGGAAAGGCTTTACCAGAACTTTCCAGAAGTGTTTGTCCAGATTAACCCACCCATGAAGGAATGATGGCTCTGGATCTCTGTGAGCTCAGGTGAGAACTTTGAACTTCTCTGAGAAGATTGGAGGAGATGGACTTTCCACCTGCACGGGAAGCTGGAAGCCAAGGCAAGTGGGATAGGACTGAGGACAAGAAAGTAGATTATTCCTCAAATAACAAGGAAGAAAAAAAAAAAAAAGGAGGAGGGTGTGTGTCACTTCCAGCCCTTAATATTGCTGTAAGACAGACAAGAATGAGGCGTCTGAGGTCTCACTTTTATGTAATTATGTTTGTGCAGAA